ATGGGTTCAGAAATGTTCCAAGCTATTTACTGTGTTATAATTATTCGCAATATTTGCTCTTATAATCAGCGCAGAGAAAACAATGCACCCACTTTTCCCCATAAGACCACATTACTGGAATTCAACCTTTGAATGGTTGTGGTCTGCTTCAATTTGCAACAGCGCACTAGCGCCAGCTAACCTCTAGCGTACATTCTAATAACTCTATGGTTCAGACAAGAGCTTTCGTGGTGCAGCAAAGTCGTTCCAACACCACCAGATGGCGTTTTGTTGCTTCCATCGGGTCCCCGTGCTTGTTTTCTCCTGTGCCCTCTCCACGGGCCTCGCTGCCTTCGTCTCCGTAGCCAAGGGCCTGTTTCGCTCGGCACCGCATCGCCCTCAGTCCATATTGGTCTATGTTGTTGCACTGTGTCAAGGTATGTTGGACACTCTCTTCGTCGACGCCACAGAGCCTGCAGCTTGGATCACCTCTGTAGAGTTCAAATTTTCGTCTTGGGGTCTACAGGGAGCCCATCCGAGCCTGGAACAGCTGCGCACTGCTGCTGTCTTTCTGATACTCTCAATAGGGCGCCAGTTCCCTCTTGTGCTCTTTGTACAGTTGGAGGTTCTGCTTCCTCTCCGCTTGCCTTCTTTATTCTTCTATTCTGGTTTGTGCCCCCTCTGCCAATATTGTCCTCGCCAAACTCCCGCTCCGTTGTCGCCAGCTCTCTTGCACTGTAGTTTGAGTCAATGGCCCTTGTTTTCTTCACCCATACGGTCCTGAACCTTTGATACCGGATGTGATAGTGCATTCTTCTGGCATAGCTCTCCCATAGGGGAGGAACTTTATTCTGCCCATGTATGAAAGCTTTCACTTAGCCTCTGATCTCGTATGTGGACTAACCCATCTCTCCGGTTATCACTGCATTTTCTGTGCAGTCGCTTCCCCCCAGCAGCCATCCCCCCAGTTTGTATTAATGTCTGTCAATATTCTTTGCTACTGCCTCACTCTATGTATGGACATCTTCGCCTAAGTCACAGCTTGGACTGCAAGGGATTCCCATAGTACTCTCCCAAATGAGTACTTATTGTGCGAGTGTGGCCAGGTGTTATACCACCCATTTTAGTTTGTTTGATTTGTTTACAACATTCTTTTTTTGTTGGGCCATGTATTTCTTATTTTTCGTTATTACTGCATCCAGGTATTTGTAGGCAGTTGTTTTCTGGACCGTTTGATTTTCTGGGCAAAAAGTGGGGTCCAAATACATATTGAAACCCATTCACTGTGTTCTTCCCATGTTAAATTTTTGGTAATCTTTAGATGCCACCTGTGTGCAGATGTCCATCATGTGCTGCATATTGGCTGAGGTGTTTACGATAGTGTTTGCGATAGGGAACATCCATGCTTTGGTCCAATACTTATTGGCACTGGTGTTGATTTGTAGTTTGCCAATGTATACCACAAACTGCATTTCCTGTACAAGCTCTTCACGAGGCCGAAGCTGTCGTTTTCAAGTCCGCTTTTCCCCATCTTTTCCCATAAACTTCAATGCGGTGCTGTGCCATAGGCTTTTTCAGGTTCAAAAATGCCAAGGACCACTGGGGGTTTAAAATATCTTTCATTTCTATGGCACCTGTTCTCCTGTCTTGCTGAAATCCATTTTGAGCTTCGATAAAGAAATTGTTTGTTTCATAAAAACTTTGTATTCTGTAGTTAATTATTCTTGTAAATAATTTGCACATGTTGCTGATTATTGCAATTGGCCAGTAGGCATTGAGGTCCTTTAGGTCTGCTTTTTTTCCTTTATACAGGAGCTTTACTTTTGCTTTTTTTTCATGATTTTGGTATTTTTTGACTCCTGGATTTTGTTAAAACATAATCTCAGATTTTCTACTGCCTTCTTAGTGCCTTTAGGAACTCATTGGGAATATTTTCCATGCCAGCTGCCTTTCTGTTCTTCATTTGCTTTATTTGTTTGTTCATTTCCCCATTTGTTATGGGGTCCAGTGTGGAATGCTTTTGCGGTTGTTGTTGCTTCAAGAAGTATGCAGTCATCCATTCTTCTATTTCACTTCTTCCAGGTTCTTGCCATGTCTTTGCAGCATTGGCATCTGTTCTTGCTTCTTTTTTGCAGCTGTCTGCATTGTATTAATTTGTCCCCAGTATTTTTCGCTTGATTTTTTCCCCTCTTTCTGTATGTTACCTGTTAAATTTTTGCATCCACTAGCACCTTTATTCACATTTTTGTTCCTCAAAACATTCCCACCAGTAGTTCTCTTGTGCTTGGGGGTAGCCTTTTGATTGTGACCACCTGTGTTGTTGTGTTGCCTGTGTTGTCTGTCTTCATTGTGACTCTCATCCCTTCCCCATTGCAGTAATGGAACTGTTGCTTCATTTGCACCCAACTGCGCCAAAATGAATAACCTGCTACATGCTGCTCCAAAGGCTGTATTTATGCACAATTCGCGCGTGTCTGCACCAGAAGGGAGCTGTTCTCGAAAAGGAAACAGTGTCTAACGCATGGCATTCTTGGCGATGTCACTGAAAATTGAGAAAGTACAGTTGTTGTTTTTTCGGATGCCTAAGCACTATTTGCCAAGAGTAGGGCCGCGCGAATTGTCGAATTATCAAATGCTTGTTTAAAATTATACGCTATATGATATTTGCTTCAAAATTAACTGCAATATTCATACTTTTCGAAATGTTGATTGCGGCAGGTTCGTCCCCTTGAGTGCACTTCTCCTCAAGCACTGGTGCACTGCGGAGAAACAATACTCGCAAAGCTGACATGGCGATCTCGCGACTTCCTTTGCCGCAGCGCAACCGTGCGTGCGAAAAACACACCTTCAAAGTGGCATGGTGCACGCGCGCACCTGGTGTAATAAAAAAAAGAGGAAAACGTTTTAATTGTTAATATTTACATTGCAGCAAAACCTTCAAAATATAACTGCGGCTGTTATGCAAGGGTATATGTTAGACAGCAATGTTCTAACAACCTGTGGTCATTATTTTTGCTTATTTTTTTTTTAATTCAGAATTGATGGAAACATTTTCATATAGCAAGAAAATTTATAAACCCCCTCAATTAGTGTATGGCTGGGCCCCTTGATAGGTTTAGTTTTACTTTGTCAGATTTGTCATTTACTTGCACCCTAACAGACTGGATGAGGCCACTGTCTATAAATATAGCTAGATTAAATTTAACAGAGCTTATAAGTTGGCATTTAGAAGCTTGCAAACAAGTTTCGCGAGTCCAGCTGAATTTTTGTTTAAGCAGGGCGTAACAGTAGTGAAAGGCGTGGAGAAAGCCACAACAATTATTCCATGTTCATTTAAAAATATTCGGCCAAAATCCCTATTCACTTTGAATTGGCTTTGAACCCAAAATCTATTATTTGTGGATGCCTAACGAAAAGTCATAAAGTTTTTGTGCGAACAGTGCTCACATCAGTCACAATGAATAGGTAGCACTATTCATTAGGAAGGGTTAGAGTAGCTATGTGCTCCGCTTAGCTGCTCTAAGAACAGTAGCAGGTTGAATGCAAACGAGGGCAGCGTGGGACACATTCAACACAAAAGCATCCATTTGATGTCGACCTACAATTACGTCAGCATGATACAAACCCTACAAAGTAGCTAAAAACATCCTTTTTACGTCAAACACAAACCAAAGACGCCATTGATACTCCTAATAGGTTAATTGAGACATCTGCAAAATTACCAGCATAGGATTGTTCAATAAATAAATACCCCTTTAGGTATGACACTTTAAATAGTCTCTAAACACTGCAACAACTGCAGTTTTTTTCCACAAGCTAACCTTCAAAGAGATTCCATAAAATTTTTTGACATGAAAGCTCAAAATTGTTTGTTCCAAAAGTGGGAAGCTATGCTCCAAAACCCGTTGTTCCCTGCTACATGAGCTGCTCCAAATCACGATTTGTCAATTCCACCACTGCCGCTTCCTTTACCTTTGTCAAACCATGGCCTTCGGTTTTGCTGTCTCCCTTTTCTGGTTTTTCCCACTTGTTCATTGGAAGTTTGGATGATTAGGTTCATTAGTTCTTGGTGTTTTCTTTTGTGAACTATTTTCCAGTTCTGATGCAGATTCTTCTATATTTTTTTCTGCTCCTAGTTTCCAGTGTTTTCCCTGATTGATTGTTTTTTCCTCTTTTTTCTTTCTTTGACTTTTGGTCTTCAGTTTTAGCAGTATTTTGTCTTGGTCACTTGTACAGCTGTTAACTTTGTTATCGTCGATGTGCGTTGAGTCTATCTTTGCGTGCTTCATTGTTTATTAGGATATAGTAATAATAATATAATATCATATATTTTATGTGCCCAAAAAAAAGGGTCTTCACGTTGGTGCACACGAGAAAAAGAAACAACACACGCGCAGCATCAAATGCACAAATTAACATGACTACAAATAGTGGGTGCACTTCACACAAAATGTACGGTTTCAACATTCAGCTAGACTACGAGTCACGGCGAAAGACAGATAGATCCGTGAAAATGTGCAAGCCAGAGGATGCCATTACATTAAATGAAATTTGCAAATGGGACAGTGGTAAGAGTTTAAGACATGGATTGAATCCAAATTGCTGATTGTTCGTTATAGTGGCTCCATGTGTTTTTTCCCCTGAATTGTGATTCCAAGTGAACTATTGTTAGGCTGTGTTTTTTTTATCAGTTTCCGGAGTTCTGTTGCTTTGCTTTCCCTGCCATCCAGCTCTAGTATGTGGCAGTTAAAGTCACCCACAATTATTATCGGTTCATTTTCAAAAGTTGAGGCAATGTTTTTTGAAATGCAGTCATAAATTGACTTGTTTTATTGCGGATTTCCGTTTGCCATTGCCACATAGGCTACACAAATATTTGGTCTCCGGTTTCCTTCTAATTTTACCGTGACCCATGCAGACTTTTTGCATTTAATTTCCTACTGTGCTTGACTGCGTTTAATCCTTTCCTGTCTGATAATGATACCTACTCTCCTCTTTTCTCTCTGCACATCTTGTTGCAGCCCAGCCATCTTCATTTTTCGTCCAGGCATGGCCTCTCTTGCAGGTGGGGTTTTGTTAGAGCACATATCTGTATTCCTTCATTGCCTGCATTGTATTGGATATCTGCCCATTTTAGCTGGCTCCCTTCCTGCATGTTGAGGACCCCAATGTTGATATTCTGCAATTCTTTTGTCCTTCTCTGTCTTTTCTTTTTGGCTGTGATCAAGGTTCTCCCCACGAATTTTTTAGGAGTGGACATACCCACCATGCGAGTGGTGGGGGGGTTTAGTTTGCAATGCGGCACGATCTGGCTTGCAGAACGCACTTTGCGTAGGCTCTCTAACTTTGCAGCCCTGCGAGTGCCACCACACCGCAGTGATAAAACCAAAACCAAATTGTATTAGAAAAGTAAAAAGCTGCAAAGGAAAGGCGGGGAGCGAATGAAAAGGCAAAGGTAAAGCAAGCAACAGCGCAAGCAAGCATTGAGCAGGGAAAGAAAAGTCCTCTCGACTTTCTGCTCTCTGCCACTCACCGCCCGCGGAGAGGGTTGAGAGAGGACTGCTGCACAATGTGCATTCGTCGTGTCTGTTTATTTTGTGTTTCTCAGCCGAGCACCCCCCCCCCCCTTTTCACCCTTCCCGCACTGGCAGCGCTTTGCGGCTCCGCTCTTGTTTGAAAGAGTGGTGGCAGTCGGCGATGCGATAAGACGCGATAACATGGCAGAGTGCAGGCCTGTTAATGCTCAGTACGACGGTCTTCAGCCATGTGCGCCGGCAAAATCGCATCGCCACTGCCGCAAAGCCACTGCCGCCCACTGTGGGGAAAACCCTGGCTGTGATTGTTTCCTGGCATTGTATTTCCTTCAGAGCCTGTCTCTTAAGTCGACTGCTCTCCTGTACTGGGGACCTTCCCACTGGTCCCATGGTAGGATTTTAGGTTTCCCTCGTGTTCTCCATCCTCCATAGCGTGGGCACTCCCAGCCCTGCCCGTCCCTTGGGGCGACATGGCCTGGTCCCCGTGTCTCTTTTGTGAGTTTTGTCTGTTGCCATCTTGGGCCGTGCCGGGCCTTCGAGTCTCCCCTCGTGCTGTGTTGGGCTGCCACTTTCCAGTGCTGCCCCTCGGGTGTGCTCCTCACCCTTCCTTTATGTGGTGGATCTGTTCTCTCTTCTGCCCCTGGTTAGAAAAGTTCTTGTATGTTTTGCCAGCTGATCCCGTACTGCCTCACAGGCTGCTTTCTTGCAATGTTGTATGTTGAACGTGCATCTCAGCCTTTCTTTTGTCCAGCGCAGGTCTGCAAGCTCCAAGTCCTCCGGATGTCTGGAACATAGCTTGTCCAGGCCTTGGTTCAGTTCCCTGGGGTCTTCCAGCGTTGCCATACCTATCTCGGATGTCCTTGGTTGGGTGCAGACCTGTATTGCTCTGTCCAGGTATTTCGTCGCCATTTCCTCAATGTTCATTAATGTTTCGTGTATAGGTCTTAAGTTCAGGCAGTCATTGCGGCCTTCATGGTTTGTGGCCATTGTGTTGTTATCCGGTCTTGCAGCCTCCAATCATCTCCCTCTCCCCACTTAGGGCTGATTGCACCAGCATCGGTTAGCGCGAGCCGGGGCTTAGCAGGAAACTTAAACTGAGTTTCGGTTTCAATCAGTTGCACCAAAATCGCTTATCGCTAGACTTAGCACTAAAGCACGCCTATCTTGAGCGCTCAACATTGGGCGCTTTGGTTTTGGTTGTTTCTAAATCCCTGATTTAAAACGTGACAACTGGTTTGTGGTGGTGGGTGCGGTGGATGAAAGTGGTTGTAAAAAGAGTTTTTGGCTACAACAGCATGACAGTCCCGAAATAATGAACTTCAATAGTGACAAGGATGCAAACTATTGTTGTGTAAAATGTTCACTGACCCCTTTGTTCAAGTTGGCTTTTCACTCTGAGCGCATGTTAGCCCAAACCGGGGAAGGTACGCAGTTGTGGGGCTCATGTCAGTCTTCCTGTTGGTTTTTCTGTCAATGTGCTTATTCGTATGTAGTTATTTGTGCATATCTGTAACGTTTTGCTATTTACAACCTTGTTTATTGTTACTTTGAATGCATATCCTTTATTCCGATCGGCGTTTTGAAAAGCGGCGTCGTATGTGCTCAGCGATCAGCTGATCGTTGACACTTCTGCCGTTCGCATCAGATTGTGGCGAATGACTCATTTAAATAAAAAAAAACGAAAATGCAATTTGTTTTGTTTTAAGAGCTTTGGGACAACCTTCAGTGAAGTTTTGCGAGTAGAATCTTAGCTTTGGAAAACTGTGTCGTTCTACAATCATAACTTTTCTGGTGACTGGGCTTTGTAGAGGTGACGAGAAATCATAATGACTACCATGCGAGATTTGTTCAGCACCGTATCGGGGCCGGCTGCGGTGGGTGGTGCGAAAAGACAACCTTCCTCGTCAACACAATGTGATGAACTAGTGGGAGTTTTCATACTTAAAAGACGGCCGCCGTCTTTTTTTTTTAACTTGGCAGACACGCAGTGTACTGTGCCACAGCTTATATGCCATGTCCCTCTAGGTCAGGGTGTCTAGCAAATTATCATTTTTAAATTCCCTGACTTTTTCAGGTTTTCCCTGACAGTTTCAGGTGAAACTCCCTGACCATTGTAGAGGCGGTTAAATATATAAGACCATTACAACACAAGGCATCAAGCACTGAGCAGTGTGAGGATCATTTTGCACTGGCTTAATCCAACTTGCATATTCCAAAATATTCGGGTTCATCCAGTCCGGATTAAACAAGCACTTTCTTGCCACCGACATCGTCAGCGGAGAGGCTACTTCCGGAAACACAATGAAAACACGATGCTGAACCACACACGTCAATAACCGAATGGCAGCATGGCTGCGAGATGCACACTTTCGGATACTTTTGGCATAAGGCTTGGGTTGGATTAGTGTCTGGGTTTTTCCCATTTGTTACTCAATCTTGTAGCTCTAACTGGATCTAGCCTCATGTCACGTCCTCAATCCAATTTAATCCAATTCAATCCAAGGCTTGGACTGCATTTGTCGGCTGTTCCCTTCGCATCGGGTAGCACACTCTGCATCGGGTGAGCAGAACCCGCGCTCTGCTCTAAGCAGAATTGATTGCCTATTTTACTGCCCCAAGTCCTCAAGTGTTCGCTTAGGGAACTCAATAGCATTTCTGGCTCATTTTCGGGCTAATTTTTGACAATATCCCTGACAATTCCTTGATTTTTTCCAGTAATTAAAATTTCCCTGACAATCCCCAGTTTTCCCAGTCGCCTGACACCCTGTAGGTCCACCTATTACCATGCTGTGCAGTCCCGTAGAAGCTATTAATCGTTAGGTAATTATATCTGTACTCGGATATATCTCATATCATTATCAAAATGAAATAGAATATTCACTTTTATTTTTGGGGTGCGCTTTGTTGCGATGCATTTATGTTGTGTGGTGAAGTAGGCATCATGAAAACACCTTGAATTTAGCTTTTTTTTTGCACATCACATTTTCATACAAATATGTATGTTTAAATTATTCTTGGCAAGCAACTGGCCCCTAGCCCTAGAGTCATGCCTTGCTTATTTCAACATTTGTTTGTGGGATTTCTTAAGGAAATAATTCACATACTAACAAAAACATGAAATGTTTATGAAGGCTGATTTGGGAATCTGAATGATATATTTTGGAAAAAGAATGTAGGTCATAAACAACCTAAGCTTAATGTTAGAATCCCAGTGTTGGTCTTCATTATTGGGATCTGAGACAGAACAGGTGAAATAATAGGAAAGAAACTATGTAAAATGTCTAGGCCTAAGCTGCAGTTTGTGTTTCTTTCCTAAAAGACAAAATGAACAGATGCTTTGAAAGAGAAGCCCTCAACAGCCAGGCATAGGAATTTAAATAACATAATAGAACTGGAGGAATTAAATGCCCAACTGCCACCAAAAGGTGGAACTTTACTAATATGTGACAACTTTACATAACCATACTGATTATTTAAAACAAAAGAGAAACAAGAGCCCAATGCAGCTGACTTTTTTCAACTAACTAATGTAAAATTAACTATCCTACATTTTATAAGATAATATAAGATAATGTGGTACAGAGAAGAGCTCATGGTCAAGTTAAAAGGTTGCATCTTAAGACCCCAAGTTAGCAGGCGTGCTGCATATGCAAAGTTTTCTCTCTACAGTGGAGACACAAACCGACTAATTTCATAGCTGACTGACTCAAGACAATTTGAAGATTAAACAGCCCATATGATTTTGAATTTTATGATCATAATAAAGTCAAAGTAGGTAAGTTTTAATTTATGTGAAGATAAAAACATGTGTACTGGACATTGTGACCATACAAAAGAACTTTCACCCTTTCCTATCTGGTGAAGAAGGAAGACAAGCGAAGCTATACTATGGTGGGAATGAAGTAATGGCCGGTTGCAAGTCGGCAAGCCAGAGTGGAAAGGCTAAAAAGGTTGCTGCCGTCGCTAATAGATGGTTGTAGCTGTCCAGAGTTTTGTGTCGAGATTTGTTTGCCCATGGACACGATACAAAGGAAACTAGTCCTTAGCAGCTCCGCTGCAAAAGTATTTTGGTGTAAATGCTATATGTAGTATTCTGTTACTGCAATTGGCTCATGAAGTAAAGAAAGCAAGAAACAAGTGTGGTTGGAGTGAAAATGCAGACACTACGAAGGATTCATGTCATACGCGGGTGATTAAAAACTTATTCACACTTCGGGTATCTTACACCTTCTGTTGGCTGCACTGTCTTATTAGCACTTTTTGTTCAAGCTTGCTGTCTCTCAAGTCACTGCTGTGCAGGCTTGAATGTGTTACCTTAAGTCAGTTCAGTTGTGACTGAGGTCCTAGAAAGAATGGCTGCCCCATGTGTAATTTGTACAAGTGGAGGAGACATTATTCTTGTGATCTGAAGGGCCTGTCTGATGCAGATATCTATAAAAATACTTTGTGCATGGTATGTTTTGTTTTGTCCCAAAGAAATGTGTTTGATTTAGGAAGGTTGCTGAACCCAAAGGCTTAAACGATACGCTGCCCTTCAACGCCTAGCAACGAAAACAAGATATGTTTCTTCGTCTTTGGCTCTACACTGTCAAGCTCTAAGGCTCCAAGGAAAGGCAAAAACGATTCCTTCCACGTAGGCCAAGGTTGTGGAGGCGGTCCATGTACCGCAAGATATGGCAGGGGTGGTGGCAATGCCGCTGATTGAACCAGGATTGGTGGAACCGCTGCACCATTTGCGCCAAACTGCCAGAACAAACAACCTGCTACATGCTGCTCCAAAGGCTGCATTTGTGCACAATGTGCGCCATGTCTGCACTAAAGGGGGGCTGTTCTCAAGAAGGAAACTGAAAGTGTTTGGCACGTGGCATTGTTGGCGATGCCACTGAAAATTAAGAAAGTACAGTTTTTTTTTCGGATGCCTAAGTACTATGTGTGACGAGCAGGGTTGGGCGAATATTGGAATTTCCAAATAGTGGTTTCAAATAATGCGCTATGTGATATCCTCTTCAAAAATATCTGCAATATTCATACTTTTCTAAGTAATAATAGGTTAGCTCCCTTGAGTCCGCTTCTCCTCAAACACCGGTGCACTGCGGAGAAGCAATACCTGCGGAGCTGACACAGCAGCCTCGCGGATTTTCGCCGCAGCGGAGCCGTGCACTTACGCAAAAAACACACGGAAGTGATCTTGTCCACGTACACTCCTGGTGTATTAAAAAAAAAGGAAACATCGTGATTGTTGATATTTCCATTGCGGTAAAATCTTAAAAATTTAACTGTGGCTATTATGCGAGGGTATATTTTAGGCAGTAATGTTCTAATAGCCTCTGTCCATTATTTGTGCTTGTGTTTCTTTTTAAATGTAGAATGGAATGAAATAATGCACAGAGCAAGCACGCTTACAAGTCCCCTCAATTAGGTATGGCTGGGCTCCTTTATAGGTTTATTTTATGTCAACCCTGTTGTTTGCTTGCCTTCTCAATGTTGCTATTGGACTTTCTGAGGCCACAGTCCATAGATATAGCCAGATTAAATTTAACGAAGCTCATAATGGGCATTTTGAAGATTGAGACCAACCTTCCCGAGTTAAGCTGAATTTGATTCAAGCATGGTGTAACAGTAGTAAAAGGTGCGGAGAAAGGTACAGCAACTATTCAGTATTCGCTTCAAAAATATTCGGCCAAAACCACTATTCACTTTCAATTTTCTTTAGACCCAAAATCCAGTAGTTGCACATGTCTAAGTTATTGGTCTTTGTGCAAACGGTGCTCACATTGATTGCAATGAATAGCTAGATCCATTCATTATGATTGGTTTGAGTAGCTTTGTGCTCTGCTTAGCTGCTATATCAACAGTAGCAGGTGGAATGCGAGCGAGAGCAGCATGATACAAAGCCTGCACGGTAGCCAAAAACATCTCTTTACAGCTAACATGGACCAAAGACGTTATCGGTACTTGTAATAGTTTAATTGAAACATCTGTAGAATGGACCGCCATATGATTGTTGAATACATAAATATCTGTAGCTGCCAGGTCCTTTGTAGGTATCACACATTAAATAGTCTTCCAACACTCCAACAACTGTTTTTTTTTCTCCACAGGTTTAACTTTTAAAGAGATTACACATTTTGACATAAAGCTTAAAAACATTTGCTCCAAAAGTAAGAATTTCTGCTCCAAAACTCGTTTTCTCTTGCTACAAGAGCTGTTCCAAATCACCACTGGTCAGTTCCACCGCTGAACCAGGGTTATAGGCTTCTGCACAGCTTCCATGATGTTATGATGTTTATGTTATTATTCAACAATGCTCAATGGTTCCGACTGCAATGTCGAAAGCAAACATGTAACTACATGTACAGCACTGGAAAACAAACTTGGATCTTGTCTGAGCCTTCATGCTCGATGTCTAGCGAAACAACAACTGCATTTCGAGATCGACAAGAAAACATCAGCTACTTCATGCTTCGTAACGAAGCTACTGAAACTGAATGTGATGGGGTCACACAGTAAACAACAGCACATGCCACGGTCACGGCTACGAGCTCGGAACTGTACACACAAGTGCCGGTGGAAGCAAAAAACAGTATTAATTGGATGTAGGCAAACGGCTGTAAAGGCACTGTACTCCATGTGGCGTACTGTTTTAAGACTGAATGCCTTTCAGTCGCACACCTCTCAACGGTGTG